TTTTTTTTTTTTTTTTTTTTTCTCTGATTATGGTGAAAGTTGAAGGTACATTACATGTTTTGAAAGAACCCTCAATTTTCTTTTCAATCGAGCTACATGGACATAACGATTGACATAATCTTCCACATAATGCCACATAGCAACCTATCATTGGACTGTTTAAAACAAAGTCAATTTTTTCTTCCAATCATATCTCGTCAACACCTATTATGTTAATCATTATATCACTTACTTTGTGACAAAATAACATTATTCTTTTCTTTTATACACAAGTAAAAAACATACACAAGTAAAAAAAGTAAATTAAACATTTCGAAGAATAAATGTACTTAAAAGTAATTTTCCAGTACAAGGTTCTTTGCCACATGCACATGTATGGACACTATCTGCCGTTTCTAAGACAAGATAGAAACTGGGGTTGGCCCATTCTGACGACTTTTGTTGATATTTGATATGAACTTGTGAAAAAGATAGAATTTGAACCTATTTTCACACGATATTGCACACTTGAACTTGTTTTCTAGGACACATGATTTTTAAAATTTCATCCTCAAGTCGACGTTCATTTCCAATTTTTTTTTTTTTTTACTGTCTCTCTTTGAAAGTGTGAATAAATTCTCTTTTTGCACAAATTTTAAACAATCTAAATATTCTTGTCTAGCTAGTAAGACAAGAGTTTCTAATCCATTTAAATGGCCTAATCTTCATCTTCAACTTTGCCCATACTTATCTAAATGTCATTTAAGAAAAATTGTCATAGTTGTTTGGGTTTAATTGGATAAGGCATTGATCCAAATTCAATATTCACCGTCCAAGTGGTTCAATATTAAACTCTAATTCCTCTCATTACTTTGAAGCAAGTTGCATTTATTTGACTTTTCTAGCACATTTGCCACTTTAGAATTGGTCCAGATAAGACACAATTTCATTGGTAATTATCCCGAAAAGTCAAAAAACAATATCTCATTACTCACAAATTGCAACCACTAACCATATTGAAACATGAAACCTCAGTATTAAACAGAAAAGCACATTTGTCCAACTACCGACAATCAGTCTCTCTACACTACACATGGTGATTGACAGTTTTTGTCTTACGAGTGTTGGATAGTAGTATGGCACTCCTGATAGACGTGTATGCGTTGCTTTCTCGAACTCGGATATAATTGAATGTGAGGTATCGAGTTATAATTTTACGACAAGCATAACTCCTCTACCATTTTTAAGTTTACAATTCAGAAGAGATTGACAACGATAAACTTACTTATAAATTAAGACGCATGTTTGAAGATATAAATCCAAGTTTTTTTTTTACTCCAAAACTATTAATAATTTTTCTCGATTTAAATAAATGGATAAGGGTCTGCGCAAAAGTTTCATGGATCACATTTATTAGAGTCCCACATTGGCTTGTGATATTTACATGATCCACTTAATAAGGCAATGACAATCCTCTCCTAACAAGCCGGTTTTGTTAGGTTGAATTATGCCCAATATCATTTCTAATATGGTATCAGAGGAGACTCAGTTTTGCAATGTTTGGTGCACCCAATATCGATTTGTTCACAGTTATTCGACATGGTCCACACTGTGCGTGAGGGGGCGTATTAGAGTCCTATATTGGCTGGTGATATTTATACGATCCACTTAATAAGGTGAGGACAATCCTTCTCTAACAAGCCGATTTTGTTAGGTTGTGTTAGACCCAATATCCTTTCTAATAACGTTAGCATCTTTCGTTTCATTTTGGGGTTTCTATTATATAATTTAATATCTTCACTTGCCACAACTGTATATTCATCTGGTATTCGATAGAAAGTGAATTTTAATGTTAAATTTCAGTGTCCATCAATGGTAATTGAAAAATAATATTTAAACAAAAAGACCAATAAGTCAATTGAACTTATAGAGAGAACTTTATATTTTATCCCTTTCAATTAGGTAGCTTTGATTTTACTTTTTTGGGGGTCACATTGTATATTTAGTACACAACCTTTTCGAAAAGTTTCGATGTTATCCGTAACCATTTTTCATCATACTTTTGTCCCCAACCTTTAATGAATTTACAAAATCAGACCCTACGATGAATTTCATCGACCCTACGATGAATTTCATCGACGACATATATGTTTTGTCCTAAAGCAGGCAGTTCAGCCATAGGATACCATAGGATGTCCACTTTAGCCTATTTCTTTGAATGTAAAATACATATCCTTCATTTCAAACGCACTACTTAATTTCTCATATCTTTCTATACTTTAACTTGCTAAAAGCATGTCATCTGTATAAAGTAGAAAGATAAAAGTGAGTTTGTGCCTCCTTTATAATACAAGCACGTCATACTTCTCTTAAATCCAAGCCCTGGTACAAAAGAATCTAATACTTTATACAATTTCCTTGGTGCTTGCTTCAGATCATATAATGATATTTGAAGCAAACAAAAGCGTTCACATTTCTTTTTTTCATCCAACTCACCATACAAGACACGTCTTTACATCTAACTGATCTAACTCCCAATTAAATTATGTTACAAAGGCTAACATTAATCTTATAGTAGTATACTTATTACCAGAGAACATATATTAGCATAATTAATTCCCTCCTTTTGGGTGGATCTGTTAACCACTAGTCTAGCCATGTACCTAATATCTTTAATCTTAAAAAACCACTTTAAAGTCAATGAGTTTCTGATTTTAGGCTTTTCAACTAACACCAAGTGTTGTTTTTAAGAAGATAATTCATTTCTTCCATTGCCCCAACCACGTGTTTGAATTTTTTCCCTTTAAACCTTCTTCAAAAGTCCTTGATTCAGATCCCATTAATTATTGATAGATACGTAAGGACTCAAAGTCATCATCTTTATATCTTGCAGGTGGCCTTATCTACCTTCTGTGCCTATCCCTTGTGAGTTAATACTCATCGAGTGGTTAAATTGCAGGTTGCAGAGAACCCTCATTAGGCTTATGCAAGAACTCACCAGGATCATCATGTGGTTCTGCCTGAGGATTCATCCCTCAATTTTCATTTATTTCGAGTCCTTACTGTCTTGAACCTTTAGGCTGTTACTAGGTAGGGCATCCTTAATTTAGACGCTCTCAATAAGCACATGCTTGATAGGGATTAAAATCCAAACTTTAATTTACATAAAAGTCAACAATTAATTTTAATCACATATATATTTCATGCTATCTAAAACTTTTCAACCACACATTTGATATAATTTTATCAAAATCTACTAAAAATCTGATTTTAATTCCTACCGAACGGGGGCTAAATATCACATCCCTTCTTATTATTACTTTGAACCCTTTCTCGCCTTCACCATAACCTATAACCTTTGATCTCTTCACTACAACCTAAGAACACACACTTGAGAGATCGAGGTTCAGTTTTTAATATTTTGGTGATGAGAGTATTTTATGTATTCAAATTTTCATTTTTCTTTACAGGTTTTAAAGTCAATGGCACTAGAGGGACTCCTGCTAACAAAATACGCTGTAGTCCTAATTGCTTCTCCCTGAAACAATTTCGGATGACCAGAGCTCAATAACATACATATTACTTTGTTTATCAAGGTTCTATTTATTCTCTCGGTCATTTTGCTAGGGTGTGAACACATAAACCAATGAATTATATATGGCCTGCAAATAAGGTTATCGGGAAGCTTTCTTTGAGGAGAAGGAAATCAGTGGCTTGGGTTCTTCATTAGGAAGTGGTCCAAGATTGCTGCTGGAATACTTCAAAATTAGGAAATTATATCATTGGCTAACCTATGTTGCTAGGCTTTAGGAAATTTCTGGGAAATTATGGCAAAGATGTGCTGATATTTGACAGCTTGTGTGTATATGGGTACGAGTGAGTGTCAGCATCAATATATGCGTATGCATGCACCGGAAGGTAGTGTCATTGTTGGCGATGGCAGTGACGGCGGGCACGAGTTTGAGGTGGAATTAAGAAGATGACTGTTTGTTTTCTTTTATTATTTATTATTTATTTTCTAATAGGTTTAAGTGACTATACAATTTTGCCCTTCATTGAAATGGGCATATGCAGCTCACCCTTTTGGCTTCAACGTTTGAAGTGGATGGAAACTATGAGAGGGTTTGACTGTGCTAATTTATTAAAGGCTAGGAACAAAAATGCAACGAAAATTTGGTTAGGTACACGATCGCAGCTTTTGACAAACGTTGGAGACTAAGTATACAATTTATACATTTTTGTTGAATAAAATCTTGTTAACCTACTGGTTGTAATAAAAAAAATCAAGATTTCCCAAAAAAACTAATCACTGTTTGGTTCCCGTTCCTTAAAACTTATATTTTTTTTTAGAACTCATTTTCAACTACTCATTTAAGAGGATTTACAACTTTTATCAACTTTTTATTCAAGCATTTTATCAATTTTTATCAAAATCTAATTTTCACCAAAACTGAACAGGAGCTAGAAGTTACTATAGAAGAATCCCAAATATCTGTCAGGAACTACAATCCCTTTGATCATGGCTACCATCCCACATATCAAGCCTCCGGGTATTCTATTCACGGAGACAGAAGAAGGAAAATTTAAATTAAATGACGTGCTTGTTGTTCTGAATTTGAAGAAGGACCTGCTATTGGCAAATTTTAATGAGATAATTCTTGCACTTTTGAGTTTACATTTTCTGATCTTGTTGTTAAGGATCAAAACTAGAAGATAATTGCGAGGCGGGCATAAAAAATGAAAGTTGTATG